AAAGTATTCATTTAGCAGATTTTAGAAAGTTGAAAGCTTTTTTTAATTGACATGATAAAGTTGAAGGCTAATTGTTTTGTGGTTGTGGCGTGGAGGAGGATGGGATACATGGTGATCGCAAAGCAGTGGACTTTACTCTATCTCTGTTCTTGGAATCAAGCGTGAATTAGGAGAAAGAAGACGGTGCTTTCTCAAATGGGTTTTGCAGTTTCAGGTTTTCGTCTCCCCTATTTCCAGATGGGGCGTCCCTCTTCCATCAATGGCGACTCTGTAACTCTCTCTCTCTCCATCTTTTCTCATTGCCACTGATGATGGGGTAAGGATGATGATTACATGGTTGTTGACTTGTTTCTCCGGCAGAAGGCGGCTAAAGATGGCGCCATGAGGATCCTATCCTTCCCAGTGGCGGCTTGTGATGGCAACCCCTATTCAGATTACAATCACACTTGTAAAGTGAATCTGTATTGAATTAAAGTTTCGTTTTGAATGTGTACAGAGGATTGATGATCATTTAATATGTCAAAGTTGATTCACGGTGCTCCTTTTTTTCCTGAATTTAGAGAGTAGCTTGCCTTGGCAAAGTAATCATCAATCTAATTTGAATGACCAGTGATATAACATTCCAAAAAGCAGGAATGGAATTCCTGAACATATAAGATTTATGGTTTAGGTCTCAAAGAAACGAAGCTCTATCATAAATTCTTTATGCTTTGGGGAATACCAGGCAACAGCCTTTGCTGAACCAAGGACCTGCAATGCATACTCCAGGGCGAACACTGGTTCGTCTATATGTACAGACCAATTTTTGTCCTCGATATCAACCAAAACTCCTGAATCAACTCTAAAACTGAATGGTCCAGCAATCTGCAAGATGTAAATGGAAAATATAATGTTTTGCCTCAAAATGCAGAAATCAGAAGCCTGAAAATGCTACTGAAGATTCATGTGATTCATATTCATGACTTGGGAAGGAATAAATGGTAACCTAAACTATCAATAATATAATATTGTTTGAAAAGAAAACCAACTTCATTGGCTTGAGTTTCAGTCGTTAGTTGACCCTATGCTAAGATACAGCACAGCCAAAAAAACTTCTTGGAAAGAAATTTACCTGTTGTTGAAGAGAAAGGGTGGCTCTGGGGCAGATTGCCTTGACCGCTTCAGTACTTGGTTGCCTGGAATTGAAATAGTCCTGTGCTAAACGGGTGGCCCCTGAAAGGAACTTGGAACCAGACGGAAAATCAAGGCGAGCATGAAATCGTGTAAGATCTGCAAACAGCCGTTGGAAGTTCCCAAGTTGGGCTGTGAATGACAAAGATGCAAACGTATCTGCCAAAATTGAAGATTTTGAGGTTGGAGCATGAAATGAGAAGCCTTTAAATCCCTGAGTATCATCTACCACTTGCGATCTAACTGAGTTCTCCCCAAACGCGGCAGTTACAGCAGCACCTACATATATTAAACAAGGAAATCTAAAGTCTTCAGTAGGAGATTTCAGATATCAAATTGGCATTCTTTGGTGACATAACTGAAAACTAATAACTGCTCTTACTTTGGTACTGAACTCCACCAAAATTATGTATCTCATACAAAGAGGGATGTCTTACCAATAATTCCTGATGCCGAAACTTGTGGATTTGAAAGGAAAATGTCATATGGTTGAACCATTGGCAACATTTTAGCTTTACTTTTCCAGATGTTAAAGTTCTTTTTATACGAAAAAGCACTCTTCACAGCAAAACCAGGTAGCAAAGTAGCAGGAGCAGGAGCCACCTGATCACCTTCAAATTGCTTCGGTGACCCATCATTATGGTGCACAGAAAAATGGTAACTTGCACCAGAGTCGGCAGCAACAGAAGCCAAATCAACTGCCATGGACAATGGCACTTCCCAGTAATTACCCTTCTTGTCTACAAATAGTCCAGGCCAAACTGCCTCCACTGTCAAATCATGATGTGGGAACTGCCAATGACCATGTAAAATCGAATGCAGAGTAAATATTCAATCTTTCTGATGATTAACATTAGAGACGATGAATTCTTACCCTGTGATAAAAGACTGCTTTCTTTCTGGGATTGTTACTGTTGTCACCATATGAGTCTAAGCTAACAAGTAGAGTATCATCAGAAGTTAACAAGAAATCAGAAGAGAACCCGAGAGCATACAAGGTCTTATCCTTAAGAACTTTCCCAATGTTCCGCACCCAAGTGGATTTTGGCTGTTGCAGAACATTGTTCTCCTTCATAGATGACACAAACTTGGTCATATTAAACTGACCCAGAAAAGAAGATATCCTGAATTATCTCAAGAAAATCCTGATTAATACTAGTGAATTAACATATGAACTCCAGAAAATCTGCACAAGAGAGAACAACAGCCAGTAAACAATGGGAATTACCATTTTTCAGCAAATGGGATTGTTAAGACGCGCTGTAGAGTGAAACCGGTGCCGGAGGAGTAGGAGGGAACACAAGGAGTGGCCATGAAGCGCTGGAAGAAGTCGATCTGCTTGGGTCTGGAGAGCCTGGTGCCTCTTGATAGCCCAAGCGGAAGAGGGTCTCCGGGAACGGCACGAGCGGTTCCTTCGAGGGTCCTGGGAGTGGACACGTCCAGCTCCCAGAAGTCCCCGTCCATTGCCCACCGGAGCTTCTTCATTCTCCCTCCGTTTCAGAATTAAATTAAAAGATGCGTGGCGGTGGGGAGAATTTCTGTCGCCTCAATGAAAAACCCTAAGCTTGAAACTCAGGGTTTGATCACACCCTGCTTAATTCGAGTGCAATTTAAGAGTTGAGCGCAGCTGCGGCTTCTACCTCGGCGTCTTCTCGTCTGTTCATTCAGGATTTCTCGTTTTGAAAATGATTTTTAAATTTAAAATAAATTTTTATTTTTGCCTTTGTAATTCCTTTTTTTTTTTTTTATTAAGTGAAGGCAGTCCATATCAATAGCACATCGTTTCATTTTTTATAAAATATATATATATATATATTTAAACTATACAATTTAAATCATTAAATAAAAGTTATATATTCATGTACTATTTAAATAATTTAATAATGATTAAAAATAAGATATAAGTTCAAATCATATAATATATAAATAAAATGTGTTAAGAGATAAAAAAGAGTTATTTTTTATTATACAATCTAAAATAACAAAAAAGTGATATTAAGTATTATTTCTTATCTAACTTTTATTCTATAACTAAATTATAAAATAAAAAATTATATTAACAATAAAACCCTAAATTTTTTCAAAAAAAAAAAGTTTTGTAATTTGAATGCTAACATAGGTAGGGATGGTACCCAATACTAGCCTGCTCCCCATCTTGATTGTTGGTTTAATTTGTGTAATTCAGTCTATACAACTCTTTTTTTTCCTTTTTTCTTTTTTGTATTCAAAATATTATATATATACTGAAAACCGTTTTTTATCTGCCATCACCTGCATAGGACCATAGACGGTTCCAAATTGGTCACAACTCTTATTTCTTTATCCTTTACATGAGGAGAGGTCCGACTGTTCCAAGTCATTGAATGAAAGAGCTTCTGCATTCCATCATCATGTTGGGATAGCAAAGGGTCTTGGAAATATCAAATTCAAAACAATTTCGTGTTATTATTGATAGGAAGAGAGAACAATCATATACAGAAAAATCACAATTTAAAAGACAGAAAATTGTTAAACAATAAATAATATTGAAAGCAAATGAATCAGACCAGTAAATAGAATACTTGAGCCTTTCCTACAGCAATGGTGTCCACAACTCAATCATCTACTGTTTTTGTTGTTGCTTCCTGACTTGCTGAAATAACAACTTCTGACCTTTATAGCAAATCATTCTTCTGATGATGCAGACTGAAATTGCTTTGATGAGGCATTGATCAGAATGGCAGGAGCAGCCTCTCTCTTTGTTTTGAAGTTCGAATCCTCTACGATTTAATGCATAAATTCTACAAAATTTTGAAAAGAGCTGAGCTTTTCTGATGGAAGGATGGACAATGATCTGGCTGCTGCTATTGCTATTGTTGATCTTGAATTTTCAAAGAGACCAGTTCACTCTCTTGTTCTTGGTTTCTATACCTTGAACCAGTGGGGAACCATCTTCGAAGTCTCTCAGGCAAAAACCTGGTAAAGGATGCAAAGACCAGATCTTCCACTTAACCAACGTTGGCAGTTGGGGTTGCAACAATAGCAACATAGAAATACAAATGAAAAATAAGAAAGAAAAATATCCATGTGATTAGGATGATGCACATTTTGCATTTTTGAACGTCATGATAGTAGTTCTACTTCCTAGAAATAATATAATTTTGTAGAGATAAAAGAAAACCAGTATTGCCATCTTACAGTTCTAGTCTTTCATAAGTTGCCCTCCGTACAGAAGAGTTCAAGCCATATGCTATTGAGTTGAAAAGGCCCTACAAGAAATAGACAGTGGTAACAAAATCAGTTCCTAAAGAGGCAAGATATCCCTGAAACTGCATTTCAGATTTTAAAACCTACTTAACCAGTCCAATTTAGGAAACTTGTGTAAAATAAACTTCTCTTCCCATCCCTTAAGATTAGCCTCATCCAAGCTTACTCATGCATTGGCATGTTCAACAGTCTACAATGATGTATTAGTCATGGGTGGATGCAAGGGACAAAAAATGGGGAACCCTAACCATCCCTTTTAAGATCTACAACTCTGGGCTCACCAATTTTTTTGAGCATCTACTCCAGCGTGAAACTAAGGTGTTTTATAGACTACAAACAGAAACAGATAGTGATGGGCATCAATAATTAGAGCTAAGATTAATCATTCTGCAAAAAATTTCTCAGACAAGAAGGACTAGGACTAGGACTTTGAGTCATTTGCACGCGTGAGACACAAAATTAAATTGAATAATTTATTCTTTCAAGCTTACTAGTCTCAATCTTGCTTTTGTGCTCAATCTTGCTTTTGTGCATACAAATTGGAAAGGACTCATGATATATAAAGAAACATTCACACACCCGGAAGATACACTTAGACATAAGAAGACAAGGCCAGATCCTAAATATTTGGACTTCATAGATTGGCAGACAGCTAATAAAAAGAGAAGATATCCAGTTCACTGGGAATTACCATAAGTGCAGCTGTTCCAACATCAAGCAGTCTAAGCCAAAAGATTTTGTGACCTGGCTCAATGAAATCATGAATACGATTGATTGTGCCAAATGCCCAGGATCCTATTAGAATGAGTGGATAGTAACCCCACCTGTTCAAAGCCTATGGGAAGAGGAAACCAATGGCAAAGAAAGTTAAAAGAGGATCCTAGCTTCATTCAACTGCAACTAAATTCTTCATAAGTGAAACTCCAAGATTTAAAATTGTGAACAAGGAAACAGAAAGACTAGCTAGTTGGTATTCCAATTTCATGACTATATTCTTGGCCTTTCACTGGTAGATCAGACAAGAATACAAAGGCAGTTGATCATTTTAATCTTTCAAATACGTAATCAGTGATCTTAACTAAAAAAAGTCAACTACCAGCACCTCAGGAAGCAGAAAAGGGCAGGTTGAATTTTCAAACCAAAGAGGAAACTAAACTCAATATGCCCAGTTGTATTTACTAATAGTCTGAAAAGACAGTAAAGCACAATCACTAAGAACAACTCCATCCCCCTCTTTTCCTCATTGTAACTTTTCTCTTACGGTCTTGTCACAGTTTCACCAATGCTAAAATTTTTTCTCCATATATACTTACATTTGTAAGTCAAAAGTACATATTACCATGTACTGACTAAGTGGCTTATAACATTCCATGGAGAAAATGTAGAAGTAAAGCAATATAAAAGCATGAATTCTTGGAGCTCCATTAGTCACCAGTAAAAGCAACAGAAACTGAAACAGCCTAATCTTTGTTTTATATAAATCTTAGATATTTAACCCTATAATCTCTTTTCTCATGCAATTAATTAGGCTTACCCTCATGTCTGCCCTTGCATCAAATTCATATGAATGGCCTGACATCCCAACTGCCATCTGAAATTTCCAAAAGACAAGTATTTGTCTGAACAATTAAACAAACAAACAATTACTAACTTAATCTACTGAAGATAATAATGGATAGTTGTATACATACGCGTCTAGCATTGTTCAGCATGCGTATCACTTGAAAGTATGTGAAACCATTGTAAAGAATTGCACCCCAGAGTGGCAAATAAAATGTTATAAAGTGAACTGCCTGCAGAAGCACGCAAATCACATCGCATGTCAAATTTCTCAGATGTGAGGAATTCCACTGACCTATTATGATACTTCACATCAGGAATTGCAGGTATAGTACTTGTTTCACTTTATTATAATTTGTATGATAAATATATAGACACTGTAAAGAACAACAACAAAAAGAGAGAAAACTAATGAAATGTGGAAATGCCGTGAAAGTAAAATGGTTTCAAATGGACTAACAGCTTCTAAAGACTACTTTTGACTTGCCTTTCCAGTACGACCAGTTTGTCCCCAACACAAACTACCCACATGTGAATGGTGATTACCAATTGAACGTATGATAGTCATAACAAGTGAGGTTCCTGCAAGAAGTTATTGAATCCCTCATATAAACATCACCAGCAGTTTTGAAACATACAATTAGAAAGAAAATTTACAAGCAAAGCCAATAGTAAGAGAGCAAACATTAAAAAGACAAGCACAGTAAACACTAGCATCAAGAGAACAGTAAGCTAGCATTAATTTTCACAAACAAGTACATGAATTAATGTGGTAAAAATATATTCATACCCCAAACATACAAGTGAAACATGGCCTCCAAATCTTCAACATCTGTTTTGTGCCTAACAACAGTTCGGTGGAGAGTAAAAGCTATTGTTGTAGTCCACAAGAAAGAAGCAACACAGAAGAAATGCGTACTGTAGCCCTGAGCATAGCAAAAGAAGCCTTTTGATGGATCCCTACATCAGTAACCGAAATTTTCCTCTTCAATTTATAAAATGTACTTGGAAAACTATATTCAACAAAGATTGCATTAGGCTGTAAGAAGCATACCCCACCATGTTAAAGAAACTGCAAAGCATATCCTGCAGAAATTGCATCATTAATTATAATGTAATAAAGAAATGTGGTTCTTTCTAACTGAATATGCATTTTTACACCAAAAGATTTCAACTTTGATCAATTTTGGTAAGGCAAAAATTTTCCTTGAACTAACAACATAAAATCTGAAGTAAAATTATTAGAATCTAATGGCTATGAGATCTGGTTCCATCTGATGGTGCTAACAATCTACTCCAAATATTGGAACCCTTTAAAACATCCAAGCGAAAGGTAAACACTGCGAAAATCATTAGATCAAAGCGTACAATGAAATTATGCTGTCCGGAGCTTTAAATTACCAGAGAAAAAGAAACATAATTTATCCTCAACAACCTGGAGAAACAAAGAACGGAGACTCACTGAGAGGGCGAGGAAGAAGACGAGCTTGAAGGAGAACTTGCGAAGTTCCTTGAAAAGACAGTAGCAGAGCACTATAAACCCAGACCCAACAAAGGACAGACTAGAGGCTCCGGTGTTGACTGCCGCCAAAATCTGCCGATCATGGAACGTCAGACCTCCGCCCACCTGCACCGTCACCATTTTGCTTTTCTCTGATTCGAACTTCGCAGCAGAAGAAAGTAATAATATTTACATGAAAGATGAAACATCGCCAACTATCTTTATTTTCACGTGGCCAAACGGTGAAGGTTCGAAACTTGTCCTTAGCCAAGTTAATAAGAAGTTGAGATATCCTTATGGGAAAATGATCCTTTAAGATTAGATGCATAAAAAGGCATTAAATAAAATCATCTAAATAACTCAGTCTTTGGTTGGAAGTAAAATATTTTAACTTTAAATTGCATGACATGCGGATGAAATAAGAGATAATTGTCTCTTATTGTGCAATCAAAATAAAAAAAAAAAAACATTAAACAAAGATAATGATGCTTTTACAATTTGGGTCATATTAGATTGTAAAATTATGTTTTATATATTAAATAAAATTTAAATCAAATTTCACCCTTCTAAAGGCTTAAATTATTGAATTATAAAAACAATTTCTATTAAAAAAATGTAATACAATTTAAATTATACCAAATTATATTCTATTAATCATTAAATGAGAAATTGAGCCGCTAAGAGTAAAATCTTCCCCCATCTAATAATGTTTATTTTACAATTCAAATGGTAAAACAAAATTCCCTTCTGTTATACTTGCTCCAAAGTGCAACATCATAACCTTTGAATTAGATAAGTGGGACTTGACATTGACTTCCACCATGTAAATGCTTAGATTTTACTATTAGGTTCAAGCCAGGCTTTAAAAACAATTTCAGTAAAATAAAAGGAGACTATTTTTTTTTTTTCATTAAAAGCAATACACAAGTCAAAACTATGCGATTTGTATGAGGTAAATCAACATTAAATGATTATTATTAGGATTATTAGTACCTTCAGCCAATTACAGAGTACTTACAAAAGGGTCATTCTATTTAAGCAATGTCTTCAAGTCCTAGACCAGTGGACCATTATAACACTACAAATTTGTTATGACAATTCTATCATCCACAATACACAACATGTTAAAAACAAAATCTTCTTGAAAAGTCGTGGTGGCAGCAGACTCATTCAGCTAATTTTCATAGGAATATGAATCATGAGCAAGCGTCTGCAGAGGCAAACCAGTAGTAAAGTGAGTTCTTTGAATGCCATGACAAATTCAGGAATCAAGAACAATGAAGCTACGGCACTCAGACTCAACATACCTGCTCTTGTGAGCGGAAATACATGAAGGGTGTATAATGAAGGAAATTGGAGACCCGAGAGGTGTATATATCAGCATACCTGAAATGAATGATATCAAGAGAACTCAGTCACAGTTACGATATGCATTTCATATAATGCAAGAAGTACGTTGAAAACAGGAATTTTGAGGGAAGATAACATACTTCTCAATCTGTCTCATCAAGTGGCTTTTATCCCACAGACCTGCACGAGAGAGAAAGCCCCACCTAATGCAAAGGATTAGACCATGTCAGTTCTGTTTTGAATGAGTGTGAGATGAAATAACCCAAAAATTATAAGTTCTAGACAACTTTAGTTTAAATCATTCACAAAAAGGACTAAATATCCATTGCTATGGTTAAGTAATTTCAGAGGTCAAAAGTAAGATGAGTGATTATAAGCTGCAAGTTCATTGTCTGTGTTTTACCTATTGTTGAAGAGCTCTCCATCAGCTTCCAGCATTGGAGCAATCTTCTCATCTAGTCTTTGCATGACAATAAGAAGTTTTTGCATGCTATCTGTGAGTTCTTGCTCATCCATGTTAGTTGCAGCAAGGGTCTAAATGCAGGGAAGAAGAACAAGATTTTATTTCAACATTCTGAAAGCATTATCTCAGAACGCATGTTAACATTGAGAATTTGGCTCATAGGCATAGATGCAACAAATCAGAGTGGATTCTGTTTCACAAATCACAATGGCAAAAAAGATGTAGCTCTGGCCCCCGAAAAAGTTGTGGTTGTCTATTTCCCTTTAGGACAAGTAGGGGACTATATTATTATTAAGAAGAAAGTTGTGGCCTAAAGCAGTAAAATATTAAATGAAAGCCTGATAATCTAAACAGGCAAACAGTGATACCAAGAGCATACATCAAATATATCAAGAAGGATATTATGCAAAGGGAGCAAGCTCACTTGAGCAGGACGATCTTTAATTCGCCGTTGCAAAGCCAGCCGAAGTTGGTTGAAGAGATCTCCCACAACCTCCTTTTGATTTATAAGGTCTATAAGAGTAGCTCGATGACTCCGACTTTGAATTAAAGCACTATACTGCAGACCATAGCAGCAATCAACAAGGGAAGGATTAAAAAATGGTAATGGTTGAGATTGACATTTCTTTCTTCACCTTAGAGAAATAATTTTTCTAATCAACATAATGTGTGTAGGAAAATCACAAAAAGTAAATATAGGAAAAAAAAAATAGAAATTCTAAAACACCTAAAGCTCCAGTTCTAGTCCAGTCAAAGAAAACAGCAAGAAAATAAAAATAAAAATAAAAGTATGCTAACCTCTTCCTCTAATTCTCGACAAATTAATGCCGTTCGCCATCGTAGATGAACTTTGGATTGACTAACATCAGTGTAAATATGATCGCCAACATACAATATTTCATCTCCATGGATGCCTAGAGAGTTTTCAACCATTTGAGCACTTCCTCCCGAGTACAAGCCCCCTGTGGAAGAAATAAAAGATGAACAAATAAGATCAGTAAATCCTGTTAAACATAATTATGATTCCTATTTATAGCACATTATCTAGTAGTAACAAATTTTATGATTAGCAGGGTGTTCTTTTAACTTCTTTTCCCTCTGAGGGGCAAGAAGGGAGGAAGAAGAACACATGAAAGTCCATCTATTGATCCACTTAAAGAACTAGAATTGAACAGAGAAGATTTTCACTAGGGAAAATGTTGGATAAAATCATACACTAGGTTCTCAAAAGCCTAAAACTCTCTTCCACAGAGGTGTTTGATCTCTTTCTCAAAATTATTTCTCATCCAGCGTCTCCAATGATAAACGAGAAATATGAACAGACAGAAAGTCCAGGCATAGATTACCAGTATGAGCCTTGAAGCATGGACGCATTAGACCCTCACCAGTCACTACCTCATACAATGGGTGTGACATTTGAAAGAACTCTGGCTTCCTTGCTGAGACTATCACCTACCAAAATTCCAAACAGAAAGGAAACGACAAAGCTCAGAAGAAAATGGAAAATAATCTCATCATCATAGAAAGATTGGCTTCACTGTCTCCTAAACACCAGTGCTTCCATCAATTGCAAAATGATCTCGTCAAAAGAAGATGAAGGTCAGACATCTGAATTTGCAAGAGGAAGAAAATGAAAAAGCTTTGAAGCTCTCATATTTTTTTTCCTTTCTTTCTTTTGAATGGCAAAAGAATCAGAAGTCATTCCAGGCCTTGACACCATATACTAAAAGTTTTTCTAACTTGCTTTCAGAAAGGTTAATCACAAATCAAGCTTAAAGTACTAAGGGTGAGATATCATTTAATGGAAGCAAGACAAAACAGTAGCTAGAAGCAGAAAATGGAGCAGAAATTGGGCTGACCATGTCAAATAGATCTCTCCAGCCCATGTCATTCGGAAGGAATCTGTTGAAAGAATGCTGCATCATTTTGTCCGTGTAATGATAATCTGAGTTTGTAATAAGCAGCAACTTTTTACCAGCCTGATGCATACAAGTTTATAAGTGAATAAGAAGTTAAGAACAAAATAATTTACATGCCATGCACTCATACCAGGGTTAGAACTTGAACTAAGTACCTCCTTTTGATCCAGAAGTGCTAAAGGTAGCTCAGGATCAGGCTCCACAAATACTTCAGGTTTGGACATAATCTCGTTCTGCAGGAATGCCAGACATGGTTAATGTGGATCACAACGTCAAAAACTACAAAAATATGAAGAAAAAAAAAATTCACTTCATATACCTTCAGCTGACCTTCTACATGTGCCCTGAAAAGAGCCTTTCCAACAGCCTGAAAACAAAAATAAGAATTATAAAAATATTTTATGTATATTTCCTGCTTATGAAATACTCTAAAATGCTTTACCTTGTAAAGTCCCTTATAATCAAGCGGACCAAGATCTGCAGGAATAGCTCCTTCATCCAATCTGTCAACCATCTGGAAGTGGAACCATGCCACACCAAAAAAGATTAATATACTGCAGTCAATACAAGAAAAACAAACAAGTGATGTAAATAAACAACCAGAACACAAGAAGAGGGGGTTTTCCATGACATTTAATAACACTTGTAGATCTAAAGCTTTTTGTACAGTATGATGATCACAGATCATATTACAAAGTCCAAGATGTACCATGCAAAACCAATTTTAGGCATATTACACCAGAAGTATACAAGAAACCATGAAAGATTAGGTTATTAAAAGGCAGCCAGTATAGCATGAATGCTCATGCTCAAGAAGAGAAAGCAGGCTTGAAATGCACCATACAATCAACAGATGCTACCACACCATAGTCTAAACTCCTTGCAGACTAAAAAAAAAAAAAACCAATTCAATGTTGACATGTTAAGGAATGAAATTACCTGCATGTAAGCCACCGCTTCTGACACAGAAAATAGTGTGTTGAGGAACTCCCATCGGCTCTCCTTTCGCAAATCCACCAGTTCCCTCCCATACAACTCACTTCCATTCACACAAAATTAGGCACCACCATAGAAAAAATTATTCCAATTTTTCCACAAATTATGCATCAATATACAAAATGTTTAACATCTAACCAACACATCAATAGTCAGTAATAGCAATTTGTCAGCATACATTGACACTGGCACAGGGAAATATATAAACAACTAGATTGTGACACACTGGGCAAACATAACTAACCCAAAAAATCCAAAACTCAATATCAAGCAAATCTTAAGTGTCATTCCGCTATTCTCATAATGCCTGATAGTTTGGCATACTGGTTTCAATAGTGACAAAGTGGGTAAGAAAGATATGCTTCTAATGCTTCTCCTTGCTAAAACACAAGGTCTATCCATACCTGACAGCTTGAGTAGATAGCATCTTTGTGCCATGCATGGCCCTCTTTACATAACCAAATCGATCAGCCTTAACCAAATTTCCATTCTCTCTGTCTATGACCAGACCTCTTATCACCTACATAGAAAAGCCAGGAAGAAAAAAGCATGTTCAGGCATCAGAAATAAGGTTGGAGATCAGAACCATACAAGTAAATCAAATCATCAATACACTCAGATATAAAGACATAAGAAAGTAACCAAGTCTGGATCAAAGGCAAGTCCATCAACAGGGTAGCCCATATTCCTTAGATTGTCCATGCAGTAATCATAAGCCCGCCCTTCCCAAGCCTGCAATAGCATCAACTTGAGTTAACATCCAACTGTCCACCCCAAGGCAAATCCATTTGGAAAGCTGATAAATAACGATTTATATGAAAAGTGAATGAGTTATATTCAAACACAATAAAAGTCATTCTCCTAAAGCAGTAACTAAATTCAAAATAATATTCAACTCATGCAGAATGAAAAATGATATTCACCATAACATTATAGTGCATTAAAGTGTAATCCATGTCGTATCCAATGGCACTAATTGAGCGCAGATTTAATGTGCGGCTACAAAAAATGCCTCGTGGTGAATGCCTTGCAGCTGAAGGACTCTGTAGGTAAACAATGAACCAGGTAAGGTTGACAAAGGCAGCATCATTGCAGCATCAGCAAGAAAAGGGAAGAAAGGCAGTATCGGCAAGAAAAGGGGAGAAGTGAATCATAAACAATTAAGAAGAATAAACAAGTTACGCAAAAAAAAAAAAGGGTAACCGGTAACTCTTTTAAAGCATATCAAATTTAGCAGAAAATTAAAGTATTCAGTAGGTGTAACAAGCAGCAACTGGAAATAGGAATGCTTGAAAATCACAAGATCACCACATTTTCAACTGGCAATAATAAATTATTGTTTACAGAAGCAGAAAGAAGTTAGGGGAGGAATATCAAATAAGAAACCCAGTGCATGATCAACTTTGGGAAAACTAAGAGATAGAATTACTACACCGGGATTCCCAAGTCTCTCAGTAAATTCTCTGCCTCTTCAGCCTCCACCCTGGCTACTTGCTCAATTGGACCATCTAAAGTCACCTGACCATCAATCCCTATGCGAGAATGCCACCTAAATGAGTACTTTAAAATGAAAACTTGCATAGCATCCATTAATTAACACCACCATTCAAAGTTATTAAAGAAAAAATTGTGAAAAACACTGGGACGTAAAGCATTCATGTCCAAATTGCTGTAACCAAAGACCATAACCATATAAACAATTCAAGCTAGAATTCTGCTAATGGGTAAAAAACAATAACATAGAACAATTAAATACAGTCTAAGCAAAGTCAACTGTGGCTTGGGAACGCTATATGAAGACGCAATAATGTGGATTCTAGGAACAAAGAAGGTTTAAAGCTTGGTAATTCGAGTATTTTATTAGGACCCACCCATAAAAGTACTACTACTATATTAGGACAAGAAGGAAGCATAACCACAAAGAACGCAACCACGGATACTCACTTCAAACATAAAGCACCAATTAATTAGCAGAGTGAGAGACCTGAGACCCAAATACCAAAATTGAAAGAGAAGAAGAAAAGGTGAACAAGAAGATACCAAACACCTCAAGGTGCTCAACTTTGAGGTTCAAATCGCCTTTGGTGCTCTGCCCCAAATAGTCGACATCACATTGGCTGGAAGAAGTCACGGAGAACACACCCTCTCCGACTGACATGGTATCCATGCCGCTACTACAACCAGACTTGCTCATCTTCAGACGTCCCACGTCCAAAAACCTCCGATAAGCAAAAGGCCCGATCAAAACAGGATGTGGGTATTTGAGATTCGGCAGTTTGGTGGCCGCCACTGATACCCGGCTTTCTCTGCAAACACCAAATTTGCCCAGAACCTCAGCCGCGAGCTCCATGATATCTCTCTGTCTGTAATCTTTGTTTTGCAGAGACTTTGAATACCCTTGAAAGTGAAAGTGACGGACAAGATCAAAAGACTTCAACTTGAATGAAAGCTGCTTTCTTACAGCAAAGTGGATAGAGACCTAATCATATGCCAAACCTTTTTCCTTAATTTCTCCTCATATTCTTCAACCTCTGGCTGTAAATTTCTCTGTAATTTTCTTTTTCAAAAATATCTTTTGCCGTACAAATGTCGTGAAAACATCTAACCTGCCTACAAACAAACAGCTTAGCCTCAAGATTATGAGAAGTTGATCTTCACGCGTGCGCTAGTGGTTGAAACTCTTGGTCAAGTGGGGATGACCTCTTGTGCTTCCGCCTTCGAGCTCCATAGATAACCTTTTCTTTCCATCACATGCCCTGTTTCAAAAAGAACAAGAAACAAAATAGGGATTATGAGTTGAGAAGTGATATTGTCTCTATTTGTCTTGGAAGAATCTAATGATTACGATGTTGAGATGTTTGCATATAATCAACTGTAAAATACTGTTTGTATTAAATAAGATTCATTAATAATAATAAAAAAAAACAATATTAAAGGTGTTTGGATTTTTTTTTATTGCATACACTGCATTTTTTAGAAAAAAAAATTTAGTTTTAAAGTTTTTTTAACTTGAGTTCTTAATTTTTTAACATTAATTAATATTAAAAATATTAAAATTATCATTAATTTTATTATTAATGTCATGTGGATTATTTTAATTAAGTAAATATTTAAATAAAAAATAATTTTTATTTTTATAATGAGATTTAGTGAAAATAAGAGTATAACCTTTCTAAAATATTTTAATTGAAAGCATGATTTTTTTTATAGTTAATTAAGATTATTACTTTTTCAAAATTTATAATTAATGATATGATTTTTATATTTTATTAACAAAAAATTAAGCAAATGTGTGTGTTAAAGTGCTTAATGAATTTCGTTTAATTCTTAGTCTGCCTTTATGTTTTTAAATAGTGATGGT